GAGAGAAAACATCCAAATCTCCATAGTGTATGAAGAGCATTGCTTTACCAATCCAAATTACCCAAAACCTTTTGGTCATATGCAGTCTCTTATGTTGCATTCATCATGAACCGAGTTAAATATCCAATACTCAATAGTAAACCACCATACCAACTCATATATGATAACTTAATTGGCATAAACTAAATAAAAGTATTTGGTTCTCTTTGCTATGAGTCGTGGTGCAAAAAGTACCTGAGCGCGAAAGTGCTCGAATGACAATGAAGTCGCCACCGAAATTTATTTTTAAAAGAGAAAACATCGATAAAATTCTAAAGAATGTAAATATGGTCATCACAACCAAATTTAGATTTGGGATTCGATTATGCATGGAAAAGGTATTATCATCCCACGACATCTGTAAAAATAACAATTACCTTTAATTAGTTTTGCGAAAGATAATATTAGCCTTAAGGTGTTCAATTTCTCATGATTATTATGACGTATTTACAAGAAAGGGAAAAATATTTTTTATTAGGGGGCTTGACAAGACGTTGAATTCTGCTCCTACGTGTCTTCCAGTGTGATGGAGAATTAAAAGATATGTAGTTCTTTGTAGCAAAAATTTGTGTGTTGGTTGATTTTAAATAAAAAATTTGATCATGCTAAGGCGGAAAGAAATTGTAAAAAATACTAGCTCGAACTATGGCGGAAAATAATTTGTTGATTGAAGATAAAAGTTTGTCCGTGCTAGGGCATAAAATCAGAGTTTGTTGATTGATGTTGTTTTTAGATGGAAGACGAGTATTTGAACTTAAACAAGATGTGCATCTTGCGTTCATTTACTCGAAGATGAAAGATATGCATATCTAGTTATCCCATTTTAATCAGAGGGAAAATAATTTATTTGCCGTTATTTTTAAGTGAAAAATGAGTATTCGACCTTAAACAAGACGTTCGTCTCAAGTTCACCTACTTGAGGATAAAATGATGAGCATCCATGTATTCCTTTTCAATCCGATCTTTATTTATAAAGATGGTGATTAAATACAAGAATCATAACTTAAACAAAATATATGTCTTGCATTCCAAACCTCCGGGACAAAATGTACATCTGATCATTCCACTTTAATCTGATTTTATTATTCGTTGATTATTAACGTCTTAAAAAAAAGTCGGGAGAAACCACGATTATTGAAACAATACTCGAGAAGAAAAATGAAGAATTAGAATTTAAACAAGACGTGCATCATGTATTCGATACTTTCAATAGCAAAGAGATGTACATTCAATTACTTTACTTTTATTCCAAATTCAAAGTCACTAAAATGTCTGATTCTAAAGTTTGATGAACACAAGTAAGTGAAAAGAAATTTGAGATATAATTTTCATTCCCCCCTAAACTTAGTAACCTAAGGCTAATAGAAAAGTAAGAGAAAACTCATACACAAATAAATGGAGCTAAATATATTCTTTAATGGCCCAAAATACTAATGTAAAATAATAATTAAAATGAGTTAGAAAAGTAAAATGAAGATTACAGTAAATAAAAGTTAGAGTGATGTAAATAACTTAAGGGCCCAAAGCTTGGCCATAAATTTCAAAGCCCATAGTCAGTGTTAAATGGTAAGTGGAAAGAAATAAATTATAAAAAGACAATGGAGAGCAGGGGTGCAAAAAGCAGATAGTAGAGTGTATGATCAATATGGCTAATGGGTTTTTGATCCCAATCAAGAAAAGAAAGTAGAGGGGTGAAGTTTGTAAAAAAATAATATTTTTTTTAATGTAACCCATGTATTATTAGTGCACCACGTAAAAATACAAAAATATTCTTAAATTCTGAAAGTCTCTAGACGCACTCAGATAGTATAAAATTTTAAATCAAATATCATTTTTATAACTATATTTATTATATCATTTTTATAACTACATTTGTTTCGAAAATACATTTTAAAAAACACTCCCAAAAATACATTTTTGTAACCACTTAACCACGTATTAAAGTAATTGAGACTTGATTGCTACCATTTTCTTTCATAAAGACTTGTCAGTTATAACTTATAAGGCAAAAAAACAAGGTTATAGGAGTAAGAAGTACCATCATTAAGCAAGGTGCATAGCACCGATACTTTCTTCCAGCTTCTGTAAATTTCTAATAAAGGAGGTACCATTATTATGGTAAACGTGTCCAAGATACATTGCACTGGTATTTTTTTTTTTTTTTAAATAGTTGGACTCGTTTGCTAATATAAGAAATATCATTATTTCTGTATTTACGTTGGGGATACAGCTAAGAAATTTTTCGAAATGTATTTTCGAATTTCGAAAATATTTTTTGAACTATTTTTTTATACATAATTATAGTATAATTCATTTAAGCATGCATTAATATATTTTCCGAAAACAGATATTTTCAATTTTACATATGGTTGTTTTGCATTAATTAAGAGATTCTAAAAAAAAAAGTGGTTGTAAGAATTTATAGTGGGCTAAGTTCAAATGAGGAAACAATCTAATAACAGTTTCCATTTTTAAATTAAAAAATTTAAGGGAATTTCTTTTTCTACTCTTACACCTTAGTTATTGATCGACTATTTATGTAACTGTAAAGTTTAACTGCAAGTATATAGTCTAACATGTAGTTTTAAAAGATATCGAACTATATAGATTAATATCAAATCTATCGTTACTAATTGTTACAATGTTTATTCAATGCGATTAATTAAAAGAATATATTGATATGCGAAAATAATAAATAATGAATAATAAAATTGCAATAAAATAGAAGCAATAAATAAATTGGCGAACAATGTCAGAATATAGATTTCGTTAATCAACAGTATTCTTATTTGTTTCTAAGTAGGATTTTCAGTGGGACAATATTTCTTATTTGAAAAAGAATTAATTTAACGGGGATTGTCGCTCTCACGTATACAGAACCGAGTCTATCCTCTAATCTATACCTTCTATCGTCACTCTTGGTCGGCGCTTTTTGCATTAAACTGATAAACCTATTTTTAAGAAATTAAACTCATTTCTTTATTGAAAAGTGATTTTTGATTGGAAAGATTAATTTAAAAAGGGTTCTTAAGCTTTCACTTAAGAATCAGATCCTAAACCTATAAACCCGCGCATTCATAAAAAGTTTTAAAACCAACTTGCTAGAAACCTTAAACTTTCCTAATTAATTAATAAAAGGGCTTTCGCGGAGTTTATTAATTAACAACTTAACAATTTAAATCATTTGTATCAGACGACTTTCGATCTTACCCGGTGTTTTCACTGTCTCATTTTCGTAGAGACAAATTAAATTAAGCCTTAGTAAACTTGTTTAAAAACCAAAACATCCCCAAAAGTAATTCTACAAAGGTAGTAAAATACGTTTTGATTAAAGTCCTCATACTCCAACACCACATAAATTAGCTTGATATAATAACGTAAAAGGAAATTAATTTGTTAATTAAATAAAACATGGCAAGCATAATTAAAAGTGTGAAAGTAGAAGAAGTAGATGAAGAATGAAAATTAAATAAAGCGGTGAATATAAATAACGAATTATAATAAAAACCTGCTCCGAAGAGGCTTTTGTCTGATATAGAGGAAAACTTCGAACAAAAGCTGATAATCTTCAAAGCGATAAAGTGAGGAAATAAAACTTATACATGGTTGTTCCAAACTAAGTACAAACTCAATTGAACTATGCGATAACCCTTCAGATTAAAGAGTTAAAGCTCACAAAATGGACAATATATGACTTAAGTGTTGTACTAATCTTGGATGGCACAAATGAAACAAGTAGGGACCTATTTATAGGAAAACAGGAAAAACCTAATTCTCGTAACCGCCAGGAAACGTGGGCGAAAACTTTGGAGGAATTTTTGACACTTGAGGAGCAAGACAGACGTGATTGTAACCTTTGAGATTTTTAACCTATGGCGACCACCACAGGCCATGGCGACCGCCATGCTTCTAAAATGGCTAATACTTGGTCTTTTGACCTAGAGCACGTGGACCACCCATGGCCACCTCTAGGGTGAACGCCATGGGGGTCGCCATCAGTGTAGAAAAGCTCTTTTCTCTATTTTTCACCTATTTCGCTTCATTTCTCTGCTTGTGACCTGTTTAGGGCCAAAAACTTGAAATGCAGACAAAACAAACATAAAAGAGGAAAATGCAACGTAAAACAATATTAAATTATGCACAAGTCAAGCCAAATAAATGGTGAGATCTCGTGTCATCAAACTCTCCCACACTTGAACCTTTACTTGTCTCAAGCAAAACCCGTGTATTCAAAGAAAAACACTAATTCTAATAGTAACTATTCTAGGCTATGGCCTCTGCTTCATACATGGTTATATTAATAGTTACTAATTCGAAAACTAAGGATATCGTAGTAACACATTCTGCTTTTTGCGGTCATAAGTATCTCTCCTATGAAAACCAATTTGTATCATATTATTATACTTAGGTCAAACTTACTCATCTCCTTTTTCATCTCTTTTCATTCAGGTGCAATCACATTAAGTCCGTTATCCATACATACTTATAGCAAGGCGATCGGTTAGTGACTCTAATCCTTTTCAACACGGGGTTCTAGTACCTTTTAAGTGGTATACCCCTTTTATTTACCCGATTTCAGTTGTGGGAAATCAGACCGTAATCCTCCCTACTAAGTTCAGTACCAGAAACCTCTGAACCAACTAAAATAGAGTTTCTTTCTGCAAGTTCTATAGCTTTTTAGATTAAGTGACCGGTTGAGGGTCATTTAACTTAAAATATGCATTCCTTATTTTCGACTTTATTATTCAACATCAGGATTATTCACTTATATTCATCAGTTTCCTTGCATAAAATATGCTTAGGATGGTGTTGACTGCTAAAATAAACTAATAAAAGACTAATTCAAGGATGAGAATTCAAGGTAATGGTTTAATAATTATGCAAATCGATTTCCATATTCGAGAGACTTACGGTGTTAGAACGATGTTGATCTTTTAGGAATCTTCCCAGGTCTTTGCAACCTATCCTTTGTTTGTCCAAAAGCCTAAAATTTCAAAGATTTGGTCACTGTTCTTTCTTTTGTTTTTCAAAAAAATCAAAAAAATTCTAGTATGGCTCAAGAAACAGGGAAAGCCTAATAAAAAGTAGAAACTATGCATAAGTGACCCAACAACCCATGCAAGGACTCTATAACAGACTGAAAAAGAAAGAAAATAAATAGATATACTAAAAAGAAATAAATTTAAATTAGAAAGCAAGTAAGGAAGCAAGTAAAGATCCTCTCCCACACTTAAACAAAACATTGTCCTCAATGTTTCGATCTAAGGTGAAAAAGGAATAAAAAACCTGGGTGAGCTAGTGTCGCCCTCTTGGGCTGTCACTCATTCTTCTACGCGTCCTGCTCCGGCTCCTAGAGGACTCTGCTAAGGTCATCTGGTTATATATGTGCTATCAATGCATCGTTTGATTCCCTCAAAAGGCAGATATGACCTATGATGTCTCCTTGATGTCCTTGTAAAGTGTTGATGCTGCTAGACATATTTTCCAACATAGTATACTAGTTCTGAGTGTGAGTCACCTGTGTAATCTGAGCAGATATTATCTGCTAATATTATCTTTGTGTATCAACATGCGACACTCTCATGAATTCCATCATCTCTTACTGTTGCCTGTATAAAATGGCGTAATGCCCATCCTAAGGACCAGGTTGAGTTTGTATGCCCTGAGGTGGTACCTACATCATGGTCAGAAAAATGTGGTGCAGTGTGTGAAGGTGAATAATGAGGTGAAATATAATCTTGCATATCATAGTCATCAAAATCTCCCTCTGCTATATTTGCTGGAACTACCCTAGGTGTTGGACTGGTGTATGCTGGAGCATCTAAATCATATATCTAATTAGCTCTAATTCTTACATCAGTGCGTCGAGGCCAAGGCAAAACAATACTTTTTACAATGTTGTTATTTAGCATAAGATGGAACCTACCCTCTGGTAGGTTTCTATAGAATTGCATGGCTCTAGCACTACCAAGATCAAGAGATCAGGGTAGCAGGGGCTCTAGGTTATCAAGCATGTCATCAAGGCCAATTGCACGGGCCAGGGAGGTAATCAATCCTCCAAATAGAATAGTACCCCCAGAGGATCTCATGTGTGCTAACATGAATGGCGCAAAGTTTATTAAATGATCTTTAAGGGCCCTTTGCAGATAAAACATCTCTTTAACATTTGTTTTGTTGCAGTTTTCCCGACCAAATAAAGTGTCTGCCAACATTTGGCGAAAATAGCGTATGGCCGGGTTGTGGATTGAGGAAGTAAGTTTTCCCTCAAAAGTGTCCGCTGTAAGGCCTGTAATTTCATTCCAAAACACGAAAGATTTATGACCCACTCTAACTCAAGTGGAGCCTCACAGGGTATTCCTTCCCCACGGGGTAACTCTAACATGTCAGCAATTTTATAAGTGGAAAAATTGTACTTAGTGTTAAACATACGAAATTGAACAGTGCCTACAGTGCTAGCAGTATCAGGCCTAACTTTATAAATTAACAAACTTAGGAATTCACAGGTCAAACTTTCATAAGTGGAGTCTTTTCGCTCAAATAGACTATGTAATCCAAATTTATCAATCATAAAATAAATATCATTGTAAATGCCTAATTCACGTAGACAAGTATCATAGAAATACCTCTTTGGTTGAATGACTCGGTTTGACAGCGTCTCAAATCTTTCTCTTTTTCGTTCTCCAGCAGGTCCGCTCCAGAAAACTATTTCCATTCCTTCTGCTATTGTTTTGAAATTAAGTGTTTTGGTAAAATTGAGATTTTTATCAAAAATCAAAGGTTTGTGAGAATTGAGTGAAATTAGGTGGTTTAATAATGTTGGAAGATTTTGGGATTAATGGAAGGTTGAAGGTTTTTGTGGGTTAATGAAAGTTATGTGAGTGAGTGGTTTCATTGTAGATGTTTATGGTGGAGAAAAATGGGTTTTTGGATGTAGAAGATGAAGAGAAACAAGGGGAAAATGTTTTGTCCTCAGCTGTTGTATTTTCTTCAATATAATGAGTTCATGGTGGTCGTCATAGGCCTGGTGGCGGCCGACATGCCCCTTGGTGCGCAAATCTAGACTCAATTGGATAATGGGCCTGGTTTTGGTGGATTGGACTGCATACCCCTCTTATTGCTTTTGCTAAGCTAAACATCTTTTGAAAAATTAATACATGGTTAGGTAATAAAATAAATAATGGTAATTTTAAACGTAGGTAAAAATTACTAAAGATGAAAATTAAAAATTAACCAAATGGTTTTAAAAATGTAAAATGATTTTTTATAGAAAAAATAAATCTAGTAAATCAAACAAAATGGTAAAGGTGAAATAAATCTAATAAAAGACTAAGTAGAAAGATAAGTAGGATCTTGCATCCGGTGTGGACAGGATGCACGGGTCTCTGCTAGCTGGTGTCAAAGACTGAGAATCTCTTGATTAAGGAAATCTACCTCTTTTGTATGAGTGAAATCATTTATCTCCACCTTTTCTTTAAGATCAATAACCTACTCGCGAAGAGAAACAATCTCCTGGCGTATAATACTGAGCTCGCAATCTCTGCCACATTTTCTAGTGGATCGAGAAGAAGAAACCGCAGTAGTCCTATCTGAGCTAAGTGGAGGTAATGGGTGATACTATGGTGTAGGGGTGTAGCAGGTCTGAAAGGTGTTTCATCTTGATCCTCTAGAGCATATATCCAGTTCTCCTTATTCCGAACGTTGGTCATTTATGGGTTTGGCATGTAAAATTAGTGAACGACTTCATTTTTAATGAGGAGTTTGTATTCATTTTTCTTGAAGTATATTGTTCATATCAAGCCCTTTTCAATGCAATGGTTTATATCCATAAGAGTATGGCCACAATAAGGAATTAAGTGGGAAAGCTCTTTATGTATGTAATACAATGGGAGAAATGACTTTTGGTTTTGCATTTTATCGCAAATGTTGCAGATAGCAAGAATCGCCACCGACTTTTCTTTTATCCAATAAAGGAAAGGGTGAAAAGAACAGGAAAAACCTTTGAGAATTTTCTGAGTTTGGGGGATAGGTTATGAAAAGGGAAGGTATTAGCACCCTTTTCATCCGTAGTTATCTACGGGCTCTTAATTGCTAGCTCACTTTTGAAAATGCTTTGTAAAGGTGTAAGTTTGAAAATATTTTGAAAATGCCTATGTTCGGAAACTTTGTAATGATTCCCGTGTCGTTGAGAATACATACAAAGTGTTTGTTTTGAAAATATTTCTGAAACGTGTTTGTGTGAAAAATGTTTTGAAATGTTTGCAAGCAAGCGATTAAGAACTATCTACCTACTCAAAAGTCTTTTGTTCTTTTCCTTTTCTTTTAGATAGTGTTATCCTACCATTGGTTAATAGGAAGTCCTATTGTTGGATGTTTGAGGGACATGCGCGGATTATCGTACAGTCATAAAGGTAACATATAGGGATACCTTTCGCAATTCGAAGGGACTATCATCATGTATTCGTAGGCAACATTGAGGGACAAGATCATTTACTGAAGGCAACATCGATGGGTCATCGAGGGACTATGATCTTTATGATGATTTTTTAACTAAGGGTCTTTACTAATGGTATCCCTACGTTCGAGGGACATGATTGTTTTTCATCTGAAGGCAACAAGTGAAATCACCCTAGAGGTGCATGTGTGAACAGTGATTTGTTTTCAATTAATTTTTCTTGATTAGGTTTTTTATGTTTTAGTTTAGATCTTTCCATACATGCCTAGTTACTATACAGTTATATACATACATACAAATAATTATAAGTGTGGAAAAATAAAGTCCTACGCTATTACAGGGCCTTGGGGCAATTACATAAGAAAAAGTGTGGAATGAAAAATGCGGAATTTAAACCTAAGCTATTACATCCCATAAACAGTTACATGATAGGAAAAATGTGGGAAAATAAAGTAAGCTACTACAAAAATACCCGTGCGACCAATACATTTATTTCTAGAAAATAAATAGAAAAAATTAATACAAAATATTTGCAAAATTATTTTTAAAAGTCTTAACATCTAAAAGATTAGAAATTAAATTTTTTGTGCATTTTTGGTTTGATTTGAATTAAAAAATAAATAGACTTTAAACCTAAATTAATGATTTAATTAATTATAAAAGAAACCTATGTCTAATTAATTAATTAAGAAAAATATTGTCTATAAATTAAATTAACCTATTAAAAGTATAGTTTTGATTTTACTATATTTTTTTGTGATTTTATTGATTAAAGAAAATTATTAAAAATAAAAATTAAATTAATTAGACAAAATGAAAAAGAAAAATAGAAAAGGGTTAAAAAGTTTTGAAAAGAAGAAAAGAAAGGTGCAGGCGCTGGGGTTTGAACCCACACCCTTCTATTTACAGTCTCCATCCTTTGCCATCTAAACCATGCGCGCTTGGTGCTTGAAAAATGGGATTTGATCATTATATGATAAACCTGCAAAGATTGGAAAATAATAACAAAAATATATCATCCATTGTTGTACCTTAGAAGATCATTAGTGGTGGTAGTATGCAATAAAACAAAATGAAAACAGAAAAATGAATTTGCAAGAAATTAAGAAAAATGGCGTAGCATGTATGCTCATTTCATGCTCTTTGGATCATTACAAATGATCCAAACTTACCCTATAATGCTCCTGGAAGTGAATAGAAAGGCTGATTTGTTTTGATCGTGGTTGCAACTAGAGTTTACAGCTTGTCCTAGTTTTGAGAATTTTGGAAATTTTGGAGTGTTTTTTTTGGGAGCAGCCTTTTGTGTCCTTTGCACTTGAGTATTGCATGTATTTATAGAGGAATAACATGGAACAAGAATAAGACAAGAATCTTGTACCATCATGTTACAATTCATTGCAAAAAAACACATTGAAATCTTTCCAAAATTGTTAAAAAGGATTCCAAACTTGAAGATTCTTGTTCCCAACATATTTTTACGGTTTTGGCATGTTTGTCATTTGTTCTTAGGCCTCCATGTGATTGAAATAAAAAACCCATGCGCCTTGGCCCAATGATTTTATATTTTATTTGATTTACTTGCATTTAAATGAATAAAAATTCAAATAAAAGAAACAAAAATCATAAAAAATATATTAATGGATTTAGAGGTCTTCTAACACATTATGAATATGTTTGAACATCAAAAGTTAAGCTCATTAGTCTACAACTTTAAGTTTGCTCACTTTGCATTTCATGCACTTTACCAAAATTTTCCAATTTGTAATGGTTATAACTCTATCAAATTTCATC